AAAAAAAACTATAAATATCGAATATTTTCTCTTTCATATTTATTCCACCGAAAATTCTTTGGAAAGAAATAAAGGGAATATAAGAAAAATAGGGGTAAATATGAAAAATATGGAAATATATAGGAAGAAATCAATAATGAAGATGATGGTTGAACATAATTTTGCGGGAATTCCCAAGGGGATATATTATTTTTTTTAATTATTTAAAATTTATATGAAATTATTTCAATATATAATTATTCCAGGGTATATTGAAGGTTTAGATTATAATTTGTATATTCCAATATAGATATCCATAGGTCCATTGTTTAGGAAAATTATTCAACAATATATTTTCTTTAAAAATATTCCAGAATCTGGTTAATATTCCCGGTGTACCTGTGAAGGCGATCATATCGGGTGGGGGGGATCCCAAAATATACATATGTAAAAATTGAACTATTCCGGAGGGGAACAAAATAATTAATTCCCGGGGGGTTGAAATAATTTTTAGGAAGGTCCACCACCCTCGATAAGGAAAGGAAATTCCAATATAAGAAATTATTTTATCCTAAAAAAAAATTCTTCGTATAATAACCGAAGACACTATCAATCCCCTGAAAATAATTTTTGGAAATTATTTTGAGGGGGGGAGTGGGGGGTAGCTAAGGTAGGTAGATGTAGTGTAATGTAGTGTAGTGTAGTGCAGTGTAGTGTAGTGTAGGGTAGTGTAGTGTAATTGAATGTAATTGAGTGTTATTGAGTGGAGTGAGTGTAGTGTAGTGGAATATAGTGAAGGTGTAGTTATAGTTGTAGTACAATATATTGGATTGCAGTGGGGGGGAATGGTAATTGTGGTTGAAAATACTACAAACCCTTATATTGCATATTTTTAATAATATATTTATATCATTTCTTGCGCCTGCCAGACGATACGACATTTAAATTTCCAAAAATGGTTAGAACCCCTTTTTTTTAACATATTAATTTCGAAATATATTTCTCGTCATAATGACGTGTATTTTTTCGACATCTTAACTTCCAAAAGTGGTCCGAACATGGGGTATTTTGTACATTTTAATTTGGAAATATAATTTATATTATAATAACATATATTTTTTCGATATCTTATGTGTTAAAAGTGGCCCGGACCTGGTGAATTTTATAAAATTTAATGTGGAAATATATTTCGCGCTACAACGATGTATAATTATTGATTTCTTATCTGGGCAGATGACTCCGTACCTGCCATTTTAGCGAGCCTACTTTTCGATCCTCCGGAGCCCTAAATCATTGGATAAATACAATAT